TCGACAACGAGAGCCTCTCGCCCCGGGAGGAGTTCTGCGTCCAGGACCTGGAACTGTGGGGTCTGGCCTGACCCCACCAACCACACCTGGGGACAAAGGTGGCACCGAGGGGATGCGCTGACACCGACGTCTCGTGCACAGCTGTTCCCTGCCAGGACCCGCCGAGCCCCTGCCTCCCCTCCAGCCCACATCCCCATTTCACTGCCAGCAGCCGGTGGGGCAGCATGACGGGGACGGACCGCAGCGGGGTGTGAGCCCTGCAGCGCTGCTGCCATCGTGCACAGCGTGGCTGCAGGAGCGGCCCCAGAGCTGCCTGGCTGGGGTGGCAGAGCCCCCACGGGAGGGGGACACGGCAGCGCCGGCACCGCAGGGCAGAGCGTGGAGGAGCAACCTTCGACAGTGGCACTACGCCGGCAGGACCGAGCACGCCCAGGAGCTGGCAGGGCTGGCACGCAGCACGGTCACCACTCCTCAATAAACGGGCAGAGCTGCGCTCCCGGCCTCGTCCTTGCCCTGGAAGCAATGAATGGCACCGGGAAGGTGCCCGTGGTGGGGAGCAGGGCTGGAGCTGTGCCCTGTCCCAGCCCAGGCTGCAGCAAACGGGGGGGGTCAGCCTGGGGCACGGCTTCAGGGGGGTGCAGGGACCCATCCCCCCTCTAACAGAGTCTGCTCTCTCCATCCACCCCATCACCCCACAAGGACCAGGTTTCCAGGCTATGCTGGGCATCCCAGCCCAACCTGCTCCCACCAGGGAGGGGTGACAAGAGCCCTTCTGGACCCTTTCCCACCCAGAGCTCCACAACCTCTTGCCTGGCTTGACAGAGTTTAGCTTCTCACTCCTGGATGCTGGGCCAATTCTCCACCATCCCTGTCCCAGCAGCAGGACCAGCCCCACGGGGATTCCAGGCAGGGGGGGTTCATGGGGTTCCATGGGAGGGCAAGGCCTGCATGGTTTGACCACATTTGATGTATTTATTGTAGGAGCACAACTGGGTGCTGAGCTGAAGTATCACCCCATGACCTCACCTGGTGACCCCATGATCTCACCTCAGCTCCTGCCCCTTAACCTGCAATCCTGTGAAGCCTGGATCCCACTGAGCTGCAGCATTTACACAGCCCCCCACCCTCCCTACCCCACTTGTACCTGCGCTGAACCTCACCAGACATTTCCCTGCTGATTCCTTCTCCCACAGCCCACCCATGCCGCCTTTCCAGCAGCTGTGGCACAGATCCACACAGGCTGTGGGAGATTCATGGAGACAGAAGATGAAGCCAGTGTAGGACTCAGGCAGACAACACACCAACCAGCCCTGTTTTAAGCGTAACCCTTTCATACCCCCTTTCTCCCCACTCTGTTCCTCCCTCCTCCTCCACTTTCAGAATCCCACTGACCCCCTCCACCCTCCCCAGGTTACAGTCTGACCTGTGGCCAAGTTCCAGTTGCCTGTAGCCTCTTGAGAGGCCCCCAGACAGTGGGTGTAAGGAGGTTTGTCTTCCTCCCTTTCTGAATCCTCAAAGATGAAAAAAAAAAAAAAAAGACGGTTCTCCTGCTGCCCACACCCTTCCCAAGGCTCTGTGCCACTGGTCAGGTCCAACCTCATCACCTCCCTCACCCCATGACCCGGGCCCTCAGCCCCCTGTCCTCCTCACCCACGAGCACAGCCGGGGCCCACAGCAGAGTCACAACAGCCTCCCTGGCACTGGCAGTCTGTGGCCTCCATCTTCAGCCCAGGGAGGAGAGGAGGAACATCT